GATAGGTAGGTAGTTAGACAGACTGACGCAGAGATGACAGGCAGGCAGGCAGGCAGGCAGAGATAAGGCTTGTTGATATTGAATCAAGGAAATGTCCACCATTTCAATCACCAAGAAAAAAGGATTGATTTTAAGTCCTTAGCATCCCCATTTTTAAAGTTTTATATTTCCTTGAAACTGTTAACTTGGACTAATTGTCCCTCAGTTATTCCAGAGTACTTCCAGAGGAGTCACCCTGTTAGTCTGTTGTAGCAAAAAATAAACAGGAGTCTCTTGCGGCACCTTTTGTGCCAGAGCTAGGATTTAAAAAGACGCTTGTCTTTAAAGCGCCACAAGACTTCTGTTTGTTATTCCCTGCCTCCACGCCCTAATATGGGACAGGCCGTAGCTTGCTGGTAGAGAATGTATTTGTAGAAGGTCCTGTATTTGTTCCCCGGGCAACTTGTGCTAGAAGGGCTCAAACAGCCCATTTTGGGAAAGGCCTGTCTGTGTTTGAGTAGACAGTGCTGGGTTAGCTGAACCTTGATACAAGGCAGTGTCACGATTCCTGAAAAAACAGGCACATTGTGACCCACTTCCTCTAACAATTAAAAACAAATCTACCACAGAATAAAAGCCTTTATTTGACCTACAAGCATAATCCAAAACCCTTTGGTCATGGAAGTCTGCACAGCCTGCAGAATTGGAGTCAAGAGGCCGATTTCTGCTTTTTGCTCTCTCTGCACACATGCAAGGATGAGAACCCAGGGACTGCATCCATGTCTGGCTGGTTCTTGTACTGTTCTTGTGCTATAGCAATCACTCACAGCTGGATTCTCCTGTGTGCACAAGATGATCCTGTCGCAAATGATTGCTACAGCATAACGACAGCGCAGTAGCCAACAACATATGGATGCGGACCCAGTAGCTTGTTATGAAATCTAAAGTGTCAGACTTCCGCATGCTTTTCTGGAACTGAGCCCCCTCAAACAACTAAGCATTTACTCTGTGAGTAAACAGCCATCAGTCAGGGTTTGGAAGTGCCCAGGAAGATCCCATAGCAATGCCAGCCTCCAGTCTGGTGTAGCGGGTAAGTGCACGGACAATAATCAGGGAGAACCGGGTTTGATTCCTCACTCCTTCACTTGCACCTGGCTGGATGACCTTGGGCAAGCCGTAGTTCTGATGATAAGAGCTGTTCTTGAAAAAGAGCAGCTTCTGTCAGAGCTCTCTCAGCCCCACCCACCTCACAGGGTGTCTGTTGCGGGGAGGGGAAGGGAAAGGAGTTTGTAAGCCACTCTGAGACACCTTTGGGTAGTGAAGGGCGGGGTATAAATCCAATCTCCTCTTCCTCTTCTCCATGTGGGGGGGGGGACTGAGGATCCCCTGGAATTACGGCTCCATCTCCAGACTACAGAGATCAGATCCCATGGAGAAAATGGATGCTTTGGAGGGTGGACACCAGTGTTCCCTCTAAGCTGAGTTAGCGTGAGCTAGCTCACCATTTTTTAGCCTCTGGCTCACACATTCTTGTCTTCGCTCAGGAAGGAGGGCTCCAGAGCAAACTGATTTATGCAGTAGCCAAATCGCTCGCTCACAACTTTAATGCCAGTAGCTCACCAAGTAGAATTTTTGCTCACAGGACTCCACAGCTTAGAGGGAACATGGCGTCGTACCCCACTGAAGTCCCCGCCCTCTGCAGGCTCCACCCCAAATCTCCAGGAGCTTCCCAACCTGGACCTGGCAACCCTACCCCCCACCCCCTGCCGGTGGCCTGGGGTGCCCCGGCAACGAGTATCCGCAAGGAAGGCAAACTAGTAAATTCCCATCTCGTTTGGCTGGGAGGGCCATTAATGTTCAGTAATTTGGGAACGGAACACATTGCAGAGCTAGGATAGTTGAAGGTCGTAAAACAGGAAGATGGCATTATCCATATGGGCTTCCTGGCGAGATACGGGATGGTCTGTCCTGGATTCCAAGTGCCTGGATGGCATCTGGGTCCAGCAGGGAGGCAATGAACACAATCCACACTTTGTGGCACTTACTGTGCTTATCCTCGGAAGTCAAGACGTTTTATCCTGTCCTGTCTGACTTCTTAACTCAGTGCGATTGATCAATGGTCGCGATTCAGGTTTAAGAAATCATAAGGGCAGGCTTCCAACACTCAGGCAGATAAAATTTAAATCAGGGTGTTTTTTTAAAAAGAGAATATAATTAACTTTTTTAAAAAAAAATCATCTGTTTTCATCCATCCTGTCTTCCCTGAGATGCAGGAAGATACGACCTTTGTCCCATAGGGAAGGGTCAACATATGCAAAGTCCTTTCCCCTTATAGCCTGGAAACGGTTGCCACCTGTTCTTCCTTGAATGCATACACTGCCTTTCTCACAGATTGTAAAAGGGATCGGGAACAATAACATAACGTCTTTTACATTGCAATATTTGGTGTTCCGAGCACTTCGCATACACGAGCTGGTATCCATCCAGCCGCGCACGGAAGACATGTGCCGTTTTCCTCCGTCCCTCTCTGTCCCCCTGCAGTCCCTTCTGACTCCCAGAACAAAGAAGAGTGCAGGACCCATATAAAAGAACAGGTGTGCAGGTCGGGGTGGAGGGCAGAAATATGGAGGACGATGACGAAATGGTCCCCTCCCTCTGATGCAGCTGTGCTTGTGGGAGAGGGAGGAAGAGCAACTTCACCTCCTGCTTCACTCCAGCCCCTCTCCCCGATATGTGTGGCTGCTCCCCTATGGGGGTCCCACAACCCTGGGAGTGACCTTTCTGGAGGTCTGAAGGGGCTGCAGAAACAACAGAGAATGTAGGGAACTCAGCCCTACCCCACCTTCCTGAGTAGATATAAATTACCTGCCTACCATTTTTCTTCTCACCTTGACACAGAGAGTACTCCATCTTTCTGTGTTATACCTCTGAGGATGCCAGTCACAGCTACTGGTGAAACATCAGGTCCTACAGTGCCAAGACCATGACCAGACAGCCCGGAATATCTACAACAGCTAATGTAGGGAAACTCCACCTTCTGTGTCCAGATGGTTCTGTGCAGACCATGACTTTGCAGCCATCCTTACAACAGCCCTATTGAGGAAGCCAGTATGATTGTTTCTGCCTTGCAGATCAGTAGAGAAGCTGAGGGTCTTAGGGAGAGGTTTGCTTTAGGCCAGCATTATAGAAGTGAGATTCAAACTGCAGACCTCCTGCTCTGGACCCCAGCCTCTTGGCTCTAGTCTAGTTGGCACAAAGTCACACCAGTCTTCCAACTGTCAGGTTGGCAGCCGCTTTCCCTCCTGTGCACATGAGCCGGACAACTGGCAGATCGCAGACAGACCCGTTTGGAGCCAGTATATGCCTCGTGCTGCCTGCAGCCACCCGGATCATTCCTTATCCCCAGAGTCCAATTCTCGGCTCTGCATTTACTGTGCTTCTTGGGCGGCCTCCCCCCCCCCCCGAAAAAAGCCTCTGCTTCCTTAACCACAGGAGGGTGCCTTGCAAAAATGGTACTCTCTGGTGGGAGATGGGATGAACTCCTAGCAGGCTGGCTGGCATGGATCCAGTTAGCTTAATAGGAAGAGCAAGAAACTACTTGGATGCAATAGTCACTCTAAGCTGTGGAGTCTTGTGAGCAAAAATCCTACTTTGTGAGCTACTGGCATTGTGAGTTGTGAGCGAGCGATTTGACCGCTGCATAAATTAGTTTGCTCTGGAGCCATCCTTCCTGAGCTAAGACAAAAACGTGTGAGCCGGAGGCTAAAAAAACTGTGAGCTAGCTCACACTAACTCATCTTAGAGGGAACACTGCTTGGATGGTTGTATTTTCTGTTGTTGTTTTTTGAAAAATCAGGTGGTAGTTAAGCCTGGAAGACTCCACCAGATTCATACCAGGAGACCGTAGTCGGTACATGGAATGGGATATAGAAAGATGTGTGTGTAACGCTTAAAAAAAGAAAGATCAGAATTCTGAACTACGAAACGTCGATTCTGCAACCTGTGCCAATTATGTAAATGAAGCCTATTTACACATGCCTGTTTTGCATAATTGTATTTCCTACTGAGAAGCAAAGAGCTATATGCGAAGCCCACACAAACAAACACACACACACCCCCTGGAAATCCCGCTTAACTAGTGCCTCCTCTCCTGGAAACATGAGATTTTCCCTGCTCATTGCATTACTCAGGGCTATTTTGGGGCAGGAACGCACAGGAACGGAGTTCCGGCTGGCTCCCGTGTTGGCCACGCCCAGCAGGAACTCCTTTGGCATAATAGGCCACACCCAACAGCAGAAACTCATTAGGATTGGCTACATTAGGGGGTGTGGCCTAACATGCAAAGGAGTTCCTGCTACAAAAAAAGCCCTGGGTTTTGACAACAAACAAGGTAAACAGAATAAGAAGCAAAAGGTGGGTGTGGCTGAATGACCACACGCTGGATGACCACACTTCTGGTAACATGGGGGTGCGGCCTAATGTGCTAATGAGTGTGCAGTCAGGGGTGTGGCCCAATCGGCTAATGAGTTTCTGCTGCTGAGTGTGGCCTATTATGCTAATGAGTTCCTGCTGAGCTTTCTCTACCAAAAAAAGCCCTGGCATTACTCATTTCCAGTTCAGTCTTTGCAACCTTAACTCCTAGAACGTTGGCTGGGCAAAAAGGGTTTGGCGGCGAGGGATTTTGATCCCGCCCTTTATGAGCAAGCTGCTCATTCGGAAACATATACTGGGGCTCGGCAAAGGGCTCTTGAACCCCGTCCGTCCTAAGCACAGCCAGCGAGGCTGGGGCCAGGCTCTCCCCTGACACAACCCTTTCGGTGTTTGCCTGGGGTTAAAGAGAGAGGAACTGGGGGTGCATCATGAGGGGAGGTCTCTGCCAAAGCATCATGTCCCCTGCTGGGGAGGAGGGAGTTAAAGAGCCCGTGGCGTCCGCCTCAGAGCAAGCCGCTCATGTGCATCGCGAGAGGGGGCCAGATGCGGAAGCCGCCCCACCCCACCCTCCATCCCCGGGAACTCTTTACCTGTAAATGAGTGCCTCGTCCACAGTGCTGTTGTATTGGATCTGATACATCCATGCCGCATAGGCTGACTTGTCAGCCGCCCAGCGCACCAATGCCGAGGTGGCCGTCACGTCAGATACGTCCACTCTCCTCTCGGAACCCCCCTCGGTGGCATTGGCCGAGGTCTTGGCCGAGGTGGCGATGTCGGAGGACCCGGGGTCCTGTTGCAGCACAGTGATGCTGCCGTTCCCCCGATGGGGTAAAGGGATGATTTTGAGGTCCACAACAGCTGTGGACTCCCCAGCTGCATTGATGGCAATGCAAGTGTAGGCTCCGTCGTCCCGGATAGTAGTCACCAGGATGTCCAGCGTGCCGTTGCGGAACGACACCGTCCTGGAGGAGTTGGAGATGATCTTGTCATCGGGGGAGACCCAATGGATGACCGGCTCTGGGTCGCCGATGGCCCGACACCTCAGAGTGGCTCTTTGGCCTTCCAAGATCCAGAGCTTGTGGGTGTGGCGGGTGATGAGCGGCGGCTCGCAGGTGAACTCTTCCTCGGGCACAGACCAGAAATACCGGCCCGCAACCTGCGGAGGGGAGGCACAGGTCTCCATGTCGTCCTCCCGAGCCAAGCGCCGCAACCACAGCAGCTCACAATTGCAGTGCAAGGGATTCCCACCAAAGCTTAGCACAATGGTGGAGGTATAAGGAGTTGGACTGATGACCCCGACTTGAGAGCGGGCAAAGAGCGGGTCAGGGGGCAGTGTGTAAAGACGATTGGAGGTCATATCCAACCGGGAGAGTTTGTACAGCTCGGCAAAAGTGCCTTCCATGACAAAGTTGATAAGGTTGTGATCCAAGTTGAGCGTGTGAAGGAAGACCATCCCCTGTATCCCTTCCCAGGGGACAGTCTGCAGGTTGTTGTAGGACAAATCCAGGTCCTCGAGGGTCAACAAGAAGTCATCGAAGGCGACCACCGAGATGTCCACCAGCTGGTTGTTGTTCAGGATGAGGTGCTGAAGGTTCAACATTCCCCGCAAGGCCTCTTCGCCGATCTCGGTCAACCGGTTGCCGTCCAGGTGGAGCGAGCGGAGACTTTCCAGGTCCCCGAAGGCAAAGGGGCGGATGGTGTCGATAGTGTTCCGAGACAGGGTCAGGTCCACCAGGCCCGACATGTTCAGAAAGTCCGGCGGCTCCACCACCCGGATGAAGTTGTCAGCCAGACGCAGCTCCACCGTCCGCCGGTCGATATTGGGCGGGATGAAGAGCAAACCCTTGTTGGCGCAGAGCGTGCTGAGTGACTCGGAGAGGTTTTGGCACACGCAGTGGAAGGGGCAGGCCTCGACCTGAGCTAGCGTGCTCCCCACCATTAGCAGCTGGACCAGCAGCAGCCTTTCCATGGTAGACGGCTTTGCAGGCCCTGAAAGAGAGGTTGGGAGGGAGAGACAACCATGTGGTTAACGCGGCAATAGACGTGAGGTGGTCCTGACCTGAATGGCCCCGGCTAGCCCAGTCTCATCTGATCTCGGACGCTAAGCAGGGTCAGCCCCGGTCAGTCTTTGGATGGGAGGCCACCAAGGAATACCAGGGCTGCTACTCAGAGGCAGGCCATGGCAAACCACCTCTCTTTGTCTCTTGCCTTGAAAACCCGACAGGGTCGCCATAAGTTGGCTGCACCGTGACAGCGCTTTTATGACCCCCAGACCTGGGATCTTGGAGACTTCCTGATCACAATTTGTGCCCTACTTCACTTCCTCCTCCCCTGAGCAGCCTCTTACTTCTGGCCATGCCGACAATCTGAGATCCAGTCTGGACAGAGGAATGACCTGGGCGATCCTGACCCAACTTAGTCTACTTTGCAGGGCTGTTGTGAGAATGAAACGAGGAGGGAGGAAAGAACCAGACATGTTGCTCCTGAGGTCCCTGGAGGAAGCTTGGGATGTGATAAATCAAGATGGGTGGCCACGTTCGTCTGCCTGTAGCGGCAGAAATGTTCATGGCACCTATACGTGTAAGACTGAGATCACCTAACACATCCCGGTAGGAAAGAGGAAGAGTCCAGTAGCACCTTGAAGACCTAACAAAATTTGTGGCAGGGGTTGAGTTTTCGTGAGTCACTGCTGACTTCACAAAAGCTCCTACCCTGCCACCAATTTTGTTAAGTCTTTGAGCTGCTGCTGGACTCCTGCTCTTTTCTACTGAGATGTGATAAGTTTTCTCCATCCTGCTTGTATAGATACCGTGACCATTTCTCAGTATCCCGACACACATGAATGTGACCAAGAAACTCAGCACAGAGATAATGGTAGATGGTTGTGCAGACAAGGGGAGGCGTGGCTGGCAGTGGCTGAGGCCCCTATTGGTGCAGACCAAAGTATCCCACATCCCAGTGGTATTCCAGATTTCACCTGGGTGGAATCTTATGAGAGGTAAAACTATGCCTGGATAGACTTATGGAGGCGGGGAGCAATGGTGTGCAATGCAGAGGTATGCTGCAGCATTCCAGGGATCTTTGCAATACACAGTCCCTGGCTCCTTATCTGCTATTTATTTAAAACATTTGTATCCCACCCTTCCACCCAATTAGTGCTCTCAAGGCAAGAAACAATTATAAAAGAAGAAGAGAAGAGGAGATTGGAGTTTTACCCCGCCCTTCACTCGGAGTCTCAGAGCGGCTTACAAACTCCTTTCCCTTCCCCTCCCCACAACAGACACCCTGTGAGGTAGATGGGGATGAGAGAGCTCTGACAGAAACTGCTCTTTTTCAAGAATAGCTCTGACAGAACTATGGCTTGCCCAAGGTCATCCAGCAGGTGCAAGTGAAGGAGTGGGGAATCAAACCCGGTTCTCCCAGATTAGAGTCCGCGCACTTAGCCACTACATCAAACCTTAAAACAAGATGTGCACACACACAATAACAATTAAATATATAAACAGAAAGAAGGATCAAAAAAGGAATGCCAGATGAAACAAAAAGCTCTTCGCCCTCTGGCAGAAGAGAATGGTAGAAGGGGTCAGAGAGAAGGGAATTCCACAGTCCTGGTGCCACAACCGAGAAGGCCCTTTCTCCAGTTGCCACCTGTCTTGCCTCAGATGACGGGGCACACAAAGCAAAGCCCCACCCCCCCAAGATGGCTTTAATCATGAGGTAGGTTTATATGGTAGTAGGCTGGTACTATGGCATATCATAATGACAGGCAATTTGCTAGTGTGTAATAGCACACGGTCGCACAAGGATGCTACTGTTAAGTCTCTGGGTGTATCTGAAACTGAACGAATTACAGAGAGGAAGTAACTTTGCAGATCTAGCGCAATAGCCTCAGGCAATCCCCGTTCTGTCAACTACCCCTCTCTCCCTTTGGCAAAACAGGGATCATCGTGCCAGCCTACACTACAGGGCTGTTGTAACAGTTACTAAAATAACGTGTGCGAAGCCTTGGAATAGGGTCTATAGATTCTTAAATCAGCAGTCTGCGTTGAAGGAGGTGGAAGCTGCAGAGCAGAACGTGTGTGTGGTTAAACCCCACAGAATGGCCTGTAATCTTCCAGGAAGGATTAATTTGTCTCAGGGATCACCAGGCTTAGCCTCAAAGCCTGGGCTGGACACATGAACACGTGAAGCTGCCTCTTCTGCTGAATCAGACCCTTGGCCCATCAAAGTCAGTCCTGTTTACTCAAGAATAGCAGCAGCTCTCCAGGGTCTCAGGTTAAGGTCTTTCACGTTACCTACCCCCCTAGTCCTTCCAACTGGAGATGCCGGGGATTGAACCCAGCACCTAACTGCGTGCAAAGCAGAGGCTCTTCCACTGAGCCACAGCCCTCCCCCTCCCCAGTCCCTTTAGGTGTGACACATGCTCGCAAGGCGTGAGAACCTTTTGTTCTTACTTTGGCCAGAGCAATTTGCATCCCTCCTTGGGGCTTGATGGCTTACTTCCCACCAATGCTCCCTCTAAGCTGTGGAGTCTTGCGAGCAAAAATTCTACTTTGTGAACTACTGGCATTAAAGTTGTGAGGGAGTGGTTTGGCTGCTGCATAACTTAGTTTGCTCTGGAGCCCATCCTTCCTGAGTGAAGACTCAGCCGGAGGCTAAAAAACTGTGATGTAGCTCACACTAACTCAGTTTAGAGGGAACACTCCCCGCCCCCTTCTGCCAGCGATGAACTTGCAGCCACAGCACCTCCTGTCTCATCCTTTTAATGGGAGAAGGCGGGGATTGAACCTGGAACCTTCTGTGTGCCAAGCAGATGCTCCACCACTGAGCCACATTTCTGAGGAGTCGTAACAAAGGGGGCCTCTGGGTACCAGTGACCATCACAGTTGCCTGTTTTGAATTTGGGAGAACAGATTCTAGGACAAGGCGTACGTGTCCCCCATAGCAGACTCTCCTAAAAATTAACAACTGGAGTATAATGAGCCTGCCCTTTTCCTCTCAGAACAACTTCCTTTTATTTCCCCACTCAAGTCTTCGCTGGCAGGTAGGAGATACTGATTTAATATGCAACTTTTGAAACTGTCTAGTCTTTGGGGTCACACCGCTTACAGAATGGGAAATGGCAGGAAATACTTAGCAAGACCCATTAAAGCTCTCTAGTCTTGGGGCAGGCGGGGGGAGTCTCTTTGCTTAGGGTATAAAATTTGGAGAGGTATTTTGCAACTAACTAGTTTTTGGCAGGGGATCTCCCAGTTGTTGGTATGGAATGGAATCTGGCTGGTACCGCTTCACAAACCCCACCAAAACTATCTAGGCTTTGGGGTTCTCTCTGCTTACAGCGTAGAAACCGGCGGGTAATACTTTGTGGAACCATCTGGCGTTTGCCCTCACCGTGTGTACAGCAGGGAAGCTGATGGGTCATATTGTCATTTTAAGGAGATGGATGAAAAGACTCTATTGGTGTGCCGGAGTGATTATCCGTCTAGGACGCAGGTGGCTGTGGGGCTGAGCGGCGGAGAAAGGTACCACTCAGAAGCAGTTTGGGGAATAATTGCAAAGGGGATTAAAGGTCTGCATTGTCTCGGCGACCAGATGCTTTAAAGGTGTCTGTGCTATTTATACAAAAAGGGAGACAGGAAGAAAGCTTTCGCTTGCTGAGCATGACCCACCAGCACCAGCTTTCTGTCACTCATCCGTCCCTCCCGTTTTATCTCTTGGCTGCTGATCTTTCAAGCGATAGCCAGAGATAAGTTTTTAAAAAGCTGCAGGATAGAGGAACTAACCTGTGCATAAATTGAGTGGGAAACCAGCCAGAGGCAAACCAAGGAGTGGTGGAAGATGTCTCTGAGCAGATAAAGAGTTCTCACACTCCGCCTCTCTTGGGGTTTGCCGAGTCCTCCCCAGCAGGGGATGGGGGGCATAGGGTTGCCAGCTCCAGGATGGAGAACTCCTAGAGATTTGGGGGGGAGGCCTGGGAAGGGCAGGGACTTCAGTGGGGTACAGTGCCATAGGGTCCACCCCCCAAAGCATCCATTTTCTGCAGAGGAACTGCTCTTTGTAGTCTGGAGATGTGTGATTCCAGGAGATCCCCAGGCCCCACCTGGAGGCTGGCATCCCATTCAGGGTTCCCTCTAAGCTGAGTTAGTGTGTGCTAGCTCACAGTTTTTTAGCCTCCGGCTCACACATTTTTGTCTCAGCTCAGGAAGGGTGGCTCCAGAGCAGTATTTATGCAGTGGCCAAATCGCTCGCTCGCCACTTTCACGCCAGTCGCTCAGCAAGTCGAATTTTTCCTCACAAGACTCCACAGCTTAGAGGGAGCATTGATCCGGCCACACAGCAGTGCTTTAACAAGCAACCTGACACAGACATTCAGCACGTACAGGAAAGAGAGGAGGAATGAGCTTCAATCCACCAGTCCCATTTTCTCAGTCATATGAGCTCCCTCTGTATTCAAACCCCCGCTGGGCCGTGGATTTAACAGACAGCTACAGCCGGGTCACGTGCAACGTAGGGGTAAAAACACTGGCCTACTTTACAAGGGTCAAGGTACAAATTACTGAGATAATGTCTGTGACACGCTTTGAACCTTCGAAATAGTCTACAACATAAATTGCCAAGGATTAATTTTATTGTTGGGATGGGCACCTTGCCAAGTTGGGGGGGGGAAACACCCTATTGGTAGAAAGAACTCCGTGGCAGGAAGCTGGATTGCTAGATTGGGTATCAAGGTGCCTTTCTGGTCTCTCCTCCCTGCCCCATGTAGAGGGGTGTGTGTGTTCAGGACAGCTTTGCTAGCCAGACTGGCCTGTGCATGACTCTCCCCCGTTCCATGCCTGAGCAAAAAACCCACAGCTGCATTTCCCACCCAATGCACCGGGCTCTGCACCACAGCATCTCAGGATCTGGGCTGGTCCCAAGTATGCCAGGAATGGAAGCCAAGAAGGGGATACCTGAGCGAGGCCTAGATTC